AATCTGAAAATGTAATTAGGTCATTTTGACCTAATTTGATTTTATCCTCATTTCAATATGATGGCTCAACTACGTGTATAGATTCACCATGTCTGTTTGTGTTGAAGTGGTCTGTTTGTGTTGAAGTGGTCTGTTTGTGTGTCTGCCTGTCAGGGTGTCTGGACATGGTGGCAGTGGAGGGTCAGTTCACCTTCACAGCAGAGTCTCTGCAGCTCAGCTGTGCTGCTTTCTTCATGGCAGAGCCCAGTGAGGTGATCGGGGTGGAGTTTGACCGAGTCGACATTGACTGCAGTGTGGGGGACTTTGTCACGGTAACAGAAGAGATGACAGTAACAGCCCACCCCCTGAAACATTTAATCTAACATCTCACAGAAACAGATTGATAATCCTGTGATCAGGTGTTACTAAACTCTGGGCTCAGTTAACTTGCAGGATTAGAAACACTTCCTGACTCCACACAAAGCTATTTAAACATGTTTACTTGTCATTATTCATTTCAGGAATTGTTTGGCAGCCACCACACATGGGTTAAGTCTGTTTTTAATATTATTTTTCTGTCCATGGGACCCCTGAAGGTGTTTGATGGGTGGGTGATGAAGGGTGAAAAGTTCCCCAGCTCCCAGGACCACCCGCTGCCTCTGCATGAGCGTTACGTGGATTACTGCGACTCGGGCTCAGAGAGGAAAAGCGTGCGCTCTTCTCAGAACGTGGCCATGGTTTTCTTCCGCATTCACACCCCTGGCAGCAGCTTCACCCTGACGGTCAGGAAACACGTCAACCCTGTCCGTGAGTGGACCGCCTCATGGAAACATGAACTGTGGGGACAGTTTGACTGTTTCATTTTTAAAACACATTAAATCTAAAGTCCAAATCAAGTCAGAGAACAACACAACAAACTAAATGAGGTGTAATAAATTTAATGCCAACAGTGATGATTAAAAATTTAGATATCTTATAACACTGTTTTATCAGAGAGCTAAAAAATAAAACAAAATTGTTTCCTTTAGAATTTACAGATGTTTAGTGAGCTGAGACTTAATAATGGAAATCATTGGGTTAGAAC